GATGGAGATGGAGATGGAGATGGAGATGGAGATGGAGATGGAGATGGAGATGGAGATGATGGAGATGGAGATGGAGATGGAGATGGAAAGAGAGAGAGATAAGATCAGGCAGACATGGAGACAGAGATAGAAAAACCAAGAAAACAATCAGGTGGAGATGGAGATGGAGATGGGAAGAGATAGATAGAGACATAAGATTAGGCAGAAGAGAGATCTCCAGAGAAGGTAAGAATTTGAAACTGGGGCAAGGGAGGAAATACCGATTGGATATCATCGGCTGGGTCCTCAAATGCACAGTTACTAAATAAAGCCAAATACATTGAACCATAAACCAACCATATTACTTGGGTTCACACCACACACTAAGCCACAATTAGCCATGATTAAAACTATCCATGGTCAGTATGTTGTTTGAATGCACTTCCTAGGTATTTACTGTTTCTGAGAAAGCATGTTATGTGAACATAGCCATTGAGTATCCCTGGACATTACCATTATAAGTTGGATGAAGAAGAGTGACTCATGCCAGTCCTTCACCATAGAAGCTGGGTTTTGACCCAAGGATATGTATTTGTACATGTTCGGCCTCACTACTTGCCTTCTACAGTCTTTGACTTAAGGCTATCTAGATTCACAGGAAACGCTTCACCGGTTCAGTAACCAACCTTAACATTGGCTCTAATACTGAACTTGGTTAGCATTAGAATCTTGGCCCGTTTTTATTTATTCCTCCAATCAATTTCATGTCTTATAGCCTGCCTGATTTGTTTATGATTCCATATTTTGTGCAAACTCAGAACATGAGTTCACCCAGGAACACAGTGAAGCATTTTGTGCAAAACCAGCAGGGGGACACCTTACATCCATTCTAATTTCATTCTAGGAGTATTAGGATCTACGGCCTAAGGGCAATATGGTCCTTCTCCAAGGACATAGAATCAGTGGTGCAGTTGAGTGATTTAGCCTAGCAGTTTAATAGTCTAAAAGGACTCGTCATGTAGGGTAAATCACCTCCCTTTCCTTTCAATTCTGCACACTGGATATCTTGCCCAGTAGCCTGCCCGGATGGTGCCACTTCTTAGAATATGAACAAACCCTGGCTTGTGTCTTTGCCATATGCCTTGAAGCCTGGAGACTGAACACCCGCCACCTGCCTTTTCTCAAAAAGTTTCAGGTTATATTAAATAGCATCTTGAGCAGGATGCATTTCTCGGGCTGCTTCCTTTTGAAGGAAGCCAACAGGATCTGTTTATTTATTGACAAGTATTTATTCAAATTGGTTACATCTGTTCTGTAAATGTCTCTGGGGGAAAGGGGTGGGAAGAACTGCTCACAAACGTTTTCAGAGCATTTAATGAACTATAAATGAAGCCATTTATGCATTAGGGGTTTTTTTAAAAAAAATCTTTATATGCATTGTGAAGGGTTATTTATCTTTTTTAAATGTCTACAAGCGTGATGCAAATCCTAGAACGGATTCAAACTGAACATTGAGTTTCCTGTACCTAGGGGCCTCCATTTCTTCAGACATAGGATCTGTGCCAGATATAAACTTTGCCTTGCAGCTCATACTTTCAATACTGGAAGACACAATAATAAAGTCGATGCCACTTAGCAATAAGAGATTTCCATTGACAGAGTGCCTAAGATTGAGCACCATAAAATGCCAACCTCAAAAGGTGATGTTACATTCAGTAGTAGAATACCTCTGGAGACCTGGAGAACAAACCCTGCAAGATGTTTCTTTTCCATGATTTCCAAGAACTTTTATGCTTCCAGGTATGGATCTCAGGTTCTTGGAGAGAAGCATCTGTTGGGTTTTTTTTCCCTTTAGGATTCTTTCAGGGAAATTCTGGAGAAGGGCAAGGCTGGTTGGAATATTAGTGATCTGCTTGGTAGTTGGTTTCTGAAAATAGTTTTTCTTTGCAAGCAAAATTGTGGGCAAAATGTTTGCCCCACCTTGATTAAAATGTGATTGGATCAGTAGGAGGAGTGAGATAAGGTGGCACAAGAGGCAACAGCTGAGGACCACCCCTTCCCCATCCTATATCATACATTCTCTTGGCTAACCTCATTTCATTTCCTGTCTCTGGAGAAGCTGCCTTTATAAATCTGTCCTTGAATGATGCCTCTGTTCTGAGTCTCATCTGCTTTCCCCTTCCTTCTGAAATATGGTAAGCATCTCTTAATTTTGTTCCAGAAGACAGAAAACTCTTTGTGGGTATGCTCAACAAACAGCAGTCAGAAGATGATGTGCGCAGGTTATTTGAAGCATTTGGGAATATTGAAGAGTGCACGATCCTTCGAGGACCAGATGGCAACAGCAAAGGTAAAGAGGCTGCCATAATTAATTAGCCAAGGCAAGAGAGACCTTGGGCCTACAGGCTTAATCCTCAAGCTCCTTCAGGAGATCTGGACGGTCAGATCTCTGGACCCAGCTTCCATCACCACCAAAGGAAGATGTTTTGAAGCCTCGTTGCAGGGTAGATGGAATTTTGAAGAGGACTAACTTTCCCTTCAAAATTATGGGCAACATGTTTGGCCCACCTTGATTAAAATTTGATTGGATCCATAGGAGAGATTAGATAAGGAGGCACAATCACAACTTCTCTGAAAAATTGCCCCATTCCAATGACCTCCATTGAGAACAATGGAAGCTATTTTAAAACCCAGTTGTCATCTGGTAGCATTTGGGGAGAGTGGGATCAGTGATGGCAAGGGAAAGACTCACCCTCCCCTCCACAATTCCAGAACACTTCTTCAAAGTCACCTCCTCTCTACTGTAATGATACTTCAAAATAGCTTCTGTTGATCTTAAGGGAAGGGGTTTTTTACAGCTGAAGTGCTGGACATTTACTGTATATGTGTGTGTGACTAAGAGTGGATTGTATGCAGGAGGCCTCTGGTTTTTGTAAATATGTGTACATGTGTGTGACAGATTGAAGGGAGAGTGCGTGCCTAAGTGCAAAACCACCATGTGAGTTATATACTTGCTGAAAGGTGGCCTGACCCATTTGGATTGATTGATTGATTGATTGATTGATTGATTGAT